CTAAAAGCCTTTTACTAATTCTCATTCATCTTCAGAAGACCCTTAAAAGTAGCCATGGTTACTGCTCCCCAAAATACAAATGTAAAATGCAGGCACATGGAGAAAATCATCCACGTGGCTATGTAATAAAATCAGTGACAGTGACAGAACCAGTACTACATACAGTCCCTGTTATCTTCTGCACTTCTGACTAATGCCCCTTCTAAATCTGGCCATGCAGGTAAAATGACTTCAAATGCTCAAGTCAGCTTCAAATACAGGAAACCAACATGGGGCTGCTGGTTTTGGCCTGACTGAATTACTTGGTCAGTTACCCAGGACAAGATCTACTTGAGTGAACTTGTATTGTTTCCAACAGAGTGGCACCTAGATTTATCAACTCTATAAAAATTTCAAAAAGGAGGCTATAGAGCAAAATGACCACAGACTCCACGCTATGGATGACCCAATCCACACACAAAACCGTCAGCTTCTGTAGAGGCAACGGTCCGTCAATTTAACCCTTGAGCGAACCCAGCCCTAATCCGCACTACAGGCCTTGTATCCCAATTAACCCCAATTAAAACCAAGACATCCTCATCTTCCCTCCATTTACACCAAATCTATACACACAAATCCACCCACCTCATGACGATCCCACCCTAAGCTACTCAAATCGATTCAAACCCCCCAACATATATCAACCTGCCCAACCTCTCTCACCAGGATTCACCAAACTCTTATCCGCCCAAATTGCTTCCGAATGCCCTATAAATTGTACACCCCTCTATAACCGAGTCCCTTCAAATCAAGATTTCTCTTCATCTCACCTCCTAATCTAATCAGGTAGTCATTTTACTCTATCCCAATCCTATTCTTCCGGACACCAACACCGACACCAACCCCATTAACCCCTCCGCCCAACTATACCCCTAACTCCGACCCAGCCCAATTCGCCCCCCTCAGGCCAGCAAACGCCGGTGGTAGTAGTGGGATTTAACTCCTTCTGCAGCGCATGCGCCGAAGCCACAGACACAAACAAGGAGGGGGTGGGGGAAGGAGGAAGGAGCTTAAGACACTCCGGGAGAGTAGCGCGCACCCTCCCATTTTGGGCTCGCGCCGCTGCCGTTAGGGCGGGAACCGGCGCTATCTCTATTCCAGCGCGAGCCTCAGCAACTACCGTGCGCGCGGATCCGGAGGCTCGCGCTGGCGGCCTGAGCAAGCTCGCGCGGAGCCCGGACACTGCGCCTGCGCCGCGGCAGAGACTCGTCTCTACCGGGTCCGCTCCCCTCCGACACCCCGGCAACGCCGACTTCTCACCCCTTTGAGCCGCTTGACCAGAGCACTCTTCTGTCCGCTCTTCGCTAGGCCTCGCTGCTCCAGTGCGGCCTTCAGGTCGGTCACCCGCAGCGCCTGAAGAGGCTTCCCGTCCAGAGTCACCTCCTCCAGCTCCGCCATCTTGCGTGAGGTACTCGGGTCCGTCCCGACGGCTTCGGGCATCTTCGGTAATTTCCGCCAACGCCCTTCGAACGTACCGAGCTGACCCCGCCCACTGCCATAGTCAACCCCTCGATTACCACTCAGAACTCCCCGGGTTCCTCCGGAACTGCTCGGGTATTTCCGTCTTCACATCGGCGCCAATCAGTTCTTTCCCTCCTCTCAGCCACTTCCCCCTCCCTGGCTCTGCTTTCAGAGCTCGGTTATTTTCGTCTCACCGAGGCTTTGAATCGAATGTACTCGGAAGCCCTCGACTCTGGCATAACCAAAATCGGAGTTACTCGGCTATCTCCGAACCTAAGGCTGAGGCGCTGAGGCGCTTGGGTGTTTGGGGCTGGTCCGGGACCGGAAGTGCGTGGGCTGACGGGCTGGTCCTGCTTAGGGTTTTCAGGAAACATGGAAGCGGCGGCGACTGTTGGAATTTAAGCACTTTTGTGACGGTCTTCGGGTGCCCTGTGAGAGGAAAGGGGAGGTAAGCGGGGTAGAAGTCCCTCTCTGGGCCGGGTCAGACTCGGTGTTTGCGGGTTACCCTAGTAGGGCACACTTCCCGCCTTGCTACAGATACAGCTGCCGCCTCCCAATCTCTTGAATCCCCGCCACTCCCATCTAAGACTACGTTGCTCTTTGGGTCCTTGGAATGCCAGGCTCATGGCCTCCAAAGTGGGCAAGTGGCAGCACCGTGCCTTGGGGCCCGGACTGTGAACTAATTCATGATCGTTGAACTTGAGTTTGCTGTGGAGGCAAGACTCGGAGAAAGTTTTTCCTTACCCGAGTAAGAGAATAAAGTTCCTTAGGAGGAATTGCTGTGAAAAAGGCAATCTCCTTGGACTGTTTGGGTACCGAACTGATGATGCTGATTGCTTAGGGGTTCCTTTCTTTGTCACTACAAACCCAACTTGCAGGAGAAGGAACGCAAACAGTAAAATAGGTCATTGATAAGTAGTTTAAGGTTTTCATTGTTAGAAATTCAAACTGTGGAACTTGAAATCTATTCAAGTCGACTGACCTATTTGCATTACTGATGCAAATCAATGGCAGGGCATCAATAAATGTGCAAAGACATCAATTGTCATACATCTACAGCAGTGTAACACGTTATTCTCCTAAGCCACCAAACCAACTAGACTTTTTTCAGTCTTTTTTTTTTTTTTAAAGATTTTATTTATTTATTTGACAGACAGTGAGAGAGGGAACACAAGCAGGGGGGAGTGGGAGAGAGAGAGAAGCAGGCTCCCCGCCGAGCAGGGAGCCCCGTACGGGGCTCGGTCCCAGAGCCCTGGGATCGTGACCCGAGCCGAAGGCAGGCGCCTAACGACTGAGCCACCCAGGATCTCAGACTTTTTTCAGTCTTGAATAAACATGTGACTTCGCCTATTTTTTCTTACTGTGTTATCTTATTTTGGGTGAGGCACTCTCTGCTTTTCAATTTTTCCTGGTGCTTTACTGGAAATATAAGGAAGTAAAGGATGTTACGAAGTTCTGGGCGTATTTCAGAGGCTATATGCACATTACAAAGGCGGCTCTTTCATCATATATGATTTAAAAAATTTTTTTTTATTTTCTCACTGTTGATAGCTCTGGAATGATTAGCATCTAGGCCCAGACCAGCTGCATGTACTAGATTAAAAAATATGTACCTTTTTTCATTTTGAGGAAGATGAGATGCACCAACATTAATCATTTTTTCTTTACTCACCCTGGAACATAGAAGTAGGCCACAGAGAATGAGCAAGAAATATGTTGGTTATTTTTAGTTTTTTTTTATGAGAATAATGGAGAGAAGCAGTGGTTGGGGAGGGTGATGAGTTTGAAAAACAGGAACATTGGCAAGTATGAAACGAAGTTATTCTTGAGTTACCTTCTCTAAGGTGATTGGATAATAACCTATATGAAGTACCCTGTTGTTTTCCTGTAAACTGAATTGTTGAAAAGTAATTTTATCTGTAGATGCTGATTGTGATAAGATTCCTTGTTGGGAAGTTGTATTTTGGTTACTCTATCTAGAGAGTATATAACAGTGCTTTTATGTTTCAGGATGCCACTGGAATCATCTTCCTCTTCGATGCCACTCTCCTTCCCTTCTCCCTTACCCTCAGTACCAGACAGTATTACTAACTCTTCCCCTCCGCTAATGTCTTACATCACTTCCCAGGAGATGAAGTGTATTCTTCACTGGTTTGCCAGTTGGTCAGGTCCGCAGCGTGAACGTTTCCTACAGGACCTGGTAGCTAAGGCGGTGCCAGGAAAATTACAGCCACTGCTGGAAGGGTTGGAGCAGCTTAGTGTTTCTGGAGCAAACCGACCACCTTGTATCTTTGAGTGCCAGCTACGTCTTTGGGATCAGTGGTTTCGAGGCTGGGCTGAGCAAGAGCGCAATGAATTTGTCAGGCAGCTGGAGGTCAGTGAGCCAGACTTCGTGGCAAAGTTTTACCAGGCAGTGGCTGCTACGGCTGGTAAAGACTGATGGGCATTACAAAGAAGATAATCACAGCTGATGGAGTCGCAACTTTACTGTGAGAACTTCCAATGTGTCACTTAAAGGTCTAGGGATGGTATCCTGATCAGCTGACTGAACTTGTTGACCAGTACAGGCTTGATTATTTCTTTGGGGGTGGGGAGGGGCAGAAGGAGAGGGAGAGAGAGAATCTTAAGCAGGCTCCATGCCCATCACCGAGCCCGACGCGGGGCTCGATCTCACAACCCTGAGATCATGGCCTGAGCCGAAATCAAGAGTTGGATGCTTAGCTGACTGAGCCACCCAGGCGCCCCAAGGCTTGGTTATTTCAATGTTAACAGCCTATCAACTGGATTGCTCGCATAAGTGTTTTCCATCTAAGTAAATCTAGATCAGCAGTCTGCCTCCTAGCTTGCTCCTTTCTACATGTCAGACCCTCAAGAATTCTGTGGCTTCTTTTGCACGTATAACCAGAAGGAACCTACACATTATAACTCAAGTATATTGCTGGCCCATGGGGCTATAAAGTAGAGCCTTCCTACTCCAGAAACGGGAGAGAAGGACAATAAAAGGTCATGTTTTTACAGTTTAACTGGATTCACATGGCTGGTTTCACTGCCCTTACCAGATTCTGGCATAATTATGTGACGTCCCAACTATTAGCTTTCCTAGTGATGATTTTGTAAAATTATGGAAAAATCAGGAGAAGGAGATAATTGGTTACTCCTTTCACACTGATGTTTATTTGAATCCAAATATCAATGACTTTTCCTAAAGCATACGTGATATTCTTGGAGCAGGAATCTGGTAACAGATTCCTATTCCGTAAGTTTGCTTGTGATATGAAAACAAGTGACACTATAGGTTGAAGGGTTTATTTTTTGTATCAAAATAAAGAATGAATCTTCAGAACCATGTCTCTTGCTTTTTTTCATTACAAGGCTAGTATAGAGGTGATACCTAGAGGAAGAGGCATTCTGAGAAAAGTAGAACTGAAATGTACACTTGCCATCCAGTTGTCTTCTAAGAAATAATCTGCCCTATCTACCCTGTCATGCTGTGGGTAACATCACACCTCCCTTATTCCTCCAGCTGGGCCCCTTGTGTCTTGGAGCTCTGGTGAATGGTGAGGGGCAGATGGTGCCACCCGAAGAGTAGCTCGTTTCTGATAGGCCACGGTTCCCAGTGCACCCACCAGAATAAGCAGTGTTAGGCAGAGTCCTGTGGACAGTGCTAGATGGGTCACAAAGGGATTACGGTCCAAGGTAACCAGCAACCTAGGAACACAGAGGTAACATTTGGCTTGGTATAATACCTAGACTTAGGAGGTGAAGGGCTTCACCTTTATCCTAATACACAGAGCTCATGAAACCCTGCATCATCCAATCAGTAAGCTACACAGGAAATCAGAGGAATATAGAAAGTAGGAAAAAGACCAAGATCTGAGTCTCCCAGCAACTTAAATTGTTGGAAGGAGACCTAACTTGGCAGTGAAGGAAATGGTTTAAGGGAAGAGTTAGACTGGTGTTTGGGAAACTGGACATGGTGCCCCATTGGTACTCAAGGGAGGAAGAGGACTGGGATCCCTATGTTCTAGAGATGGAGGACTCCCTTATTATGGAGGGAAAAGTGTCCCGTAGTGACAGACCTGAGGTGATCACATGAGTTGTTTTCTGAAATAATCCTGTCTAGGACCTACATACAAGTGAGTACTTAATGCAATTTCAAACATCTGGACTCCAGGAATTTGAAAGAAAACCACTTGGAATATTATCTTACTTGGTGTGTCCTGTGGTAAAGCTGGCTCCTCCAAAATGTACTTCTAGGGGCTTCTTCTGGAGAGTCAGGGTCAGGGCCCTGTGCAGCGTACCAACTGAAGGCCCTTGGCAGCCAGGGGACTTGCCCATGTACACAGTGAACACCAGACTAGTGGTAGTGGAGGGGCTGTGGAAATAGCACCTATAGGGACATTTGGATCTCTTAAGGGAGGTAGAGTCCCTGGAAGAGTCTATCTCCTGAAGCAGGTACAGGCTTAGGAGTGGGACAAAGTCTTCAGAGGAGAGTGGTGAAGCAACCCACTTAAGCCGTTCCCCTGGCCCACTGGAGAAATCCTCAGCCTGAAGTGCCCCTTTACCTGCTGGGGCTGCCTCTGCTCACCAGCGCCTGGAGTACTGCTTCAGTCAGCCCGTCCAGCTCTTCCTTCCCCACCGAGTGGCCTGGGGGCCCAGCTAATTGAAAAGACAGCTGGAATGACAGGTCTTGGGGTGGAAGACTCACAGGTGGGGAAGTAGCAGCATTGGTAACTTCGTTAGTTTGACACAGCCGACCGCGGGGACAGAAGAGAAGACCCGAGTACCCAGGTATCTGCAAGGAAATACATAGCAGGGTATAGTTAGGACCTCATTTGCTTGCTCAAGCCCTCCTTCTAAAGAAAAAGTACAATCTAGATCGGGGTCATGGACTCAACGGGTACTTAGTAAAAAATGAATGAACATCGAAATAAGTTGGATAGTGCTACTATTCCGAGGACTTTTAAACTTCCTTTTTGCCAATGTGCTATATGGCTTTTCACTTACGGTACCCACCTGAATGGCCTTTCCAGGAAGGCATGGGGCCCAGGGTGACCCCTGTGCCTGCACCTTGTATGCTCCTCTCTCTGTGCATTGATGTAAGTAGCAGCGGCCGGTGAGCTCTGCTTCCTTCGGGTGTGGGATCTCAGAGGGATGCCCGGTCTTGTCCTCACGGAGCGGTTGTGAAGTGAGGTTGGCAAGGAAGCAACGACTCTGGGGATGGTAAATTTCCCCGTGGGGGTTCTCTGCCCCAGGTGGGAACCCATTTTCCTTCTTCCAGCATTCGCTCTGAAAGGCGGGGCAGGAGGCAGAAAAGCGTTTGCCGAGATGCCTTAGACGTTGACTCCGCTCGGGGCCGCTCTGTTTCATTCTGTTCTCTCTAGTCGTCTCACCCCATTGGCCAAGGGCTTGTACATGCGGCAGCCTTCCAGCAAGGGGTCCGAGGAACAGCTTCCCTTGTCCAGATGCAGGTAGTGACAGCCCAGTCCGCTGTGTGGGAGGGATGGCAGCTGACCACTAGGGTCCCCGATGGCCGTACAGCCCCTCAACCACGCAGCACGCGTACCTGCCAGTGCAGAAGAAGTCTGAGGAGCCAGCCCCACACGTAGTCACCAGGCCAAATTCCAGGCCAGATCCTGCTGGAGAGACAGGAAGAGAGAGAGCCCTCCGAACAAACAAACGAAACGCCAGGCATCCCTCAGCGCCTGCTGTGCTCACGGCTTCGGTTCCACCTCAGCAGCAGAAAATCCCTCCCAGCCTCTCACTGCCCTCACGCTGACTCGGGTCGTGAGGGCCCCTCTGCCATCCTCCCCTGTCCTCACCCCGGCCCCACAGCAGCCCCTCCGCAGCGCTGTGGTTGACTCGGTACCAGCCCGAATCTTTGAAGGCAGCAAGAGTGATGGGATCGAGCCGAGTGCGCCGGGCACCATCAAAGGTAGCAGTCATTATAGAACCCTGGAGCAGTCGGGCCTCCCAGTGCGAAGACGAAGGACCCTAGGGAAGAGGGAGCTGGTTGCCACCCGACCGCACCCTCTTCCTTCCAGCTCCGCCAGGTGCTCCCGTCCCCACCTCTTCTTCCAAGGGAACACCCGGCAAAGCCCCCGGCACTCCCAAGTGTCTGGCCAGGCTGTGGCTAACAGTTGGGGTGGTGAGAAGCAGCTGTCCCCACTCATCTCGCCTTGTCACTTGTTGCCTTGTCGAACAGTCCTCTCTAGCTGAGCACAGAAGGGGAAGAAGGCAATATGAGGAAAGGAACACTTAGGAAGGGGGGGGAGCAGAACTGGAAGGAAGGAGTTGGTGGGGTGATGGTGATCCCCTCTTGTTGACATCGTGGGGAAGCTTGCCCTCATTCCTCCCATTTACCGCTGGGTCCTGAGGGGCAATCCCGCCACTTCTTAAAGAGCTGTCCAGAGAAACCCAGAGCATGGAGCAATTCATGGAGTGTGACCTAAGGACAAATGACTGCAGGGTGAGGGGGATGGGGGACGGAGCAGGTTGACCCGCCACTCTATAGCCCGCTCTGCCCACTCAGCTCTTCCTAGAGCTGAGGCATCTTGTCCTCCATCCTTAGTAGATTCTTCCACTTCATGGGAAGCTGAGTGACCTGCCCCCTCTCCCCAACCTGTTTGCGCCTTCCTACTCCTCATGCAGCAGTCACCGTGACGACGTCACTGTGGCTGAGGCTGGGGCTGGTGAGATGCTGGGCACAGTAGACGATGGTCCCAGCAAGGGGTCTGTCTTCCGAGTCCAGATGGCAGCAGGCAGCATAGGCCATGACAGAGGGCTGTGGATGGGCCAGGACAAGGTAGAGGTGGGAAGCAGGGAAGTGAGGGAACACAGAGGAAATCTTCCTGAAAATGGACACCCGGGGAACTCAGTACCAAGGGATGGTTTGAAAGGGCTTAGCTCCCACCCAAACTTCATCAACATGACCGAGTCACCTAGAATAAGCACAATTTAATAAAAACTGCCTTTGTGCTCCCTCCCCTTTCCCATGATATTTAAGTTTAAGAAAGGCAGACAGGGAAAGGGATTTGATTTGGGTCTCACCTCTCCATGGCACTTGGAAGTGTGGGCCACCCACACATACAGGAGAAAATCAGTGTCTTGGACCCCGGGCCCATCTGGCTGGACCAGCTGTGGGGGACCCTGCTCTGGCCACAATGCATAACCACGGAGATGGGTGTCAGGGATCTGGCCGGGGGTGAAATGCAACATCTAGCTTAGCAGATGAAGACAGTAGGGAACTGGGTACTGGGAATGAGGAGTGGACAGTCTTTATCAGAATAGGGACTCCTGCCACCCCTCGCTGCCCAGGTCTCTGATTTAATAAATTGCCAGGGGGAGAAGGGTTTCAGGAATCTACATTTGTTAGGAAGCACATTAAGTAATTTTGGTGCTAATGGGCTTGGAGAAGTCTAGGCAGGCTAGAGATCTTCAGATTCCCAAATCTGAGAAATTGCTCTCACCTTTGCCCCCAGGCAACTCTCTCCTTTGTACCCTGGGTTCAAGAGGCTGCATCTGCCAAGAATGGATATCTGTAGGTGAGCTGGAGACATTTCTGGGTACCTCTGAAGAGGTAGTATATACATTCTCAACGACATGAACTCACCTGTGGTAGTTTGGCGTGTCTGGGTCCCCCCAGACAGCATGGCAGTACTGTGCGGGGTCTCGACTCAAAAGCAGGGGGCCTTGAACTGGAGGGACTTAAAAAGATGAGCGGTCAATTTCACCCCAACATGTTAGAGTTCCTTTTCTCTGGTTGTCTTCCTCCTTAGCCCTCTGCTCCTCAGCCCTCCCTGCCTCCTTCTGTTCCCCCACTCACCTGCGAAGATTCCCTGGAGTTGCTGAGCAGCCTGCCTGGCTGCGGCCAGGGCCAGGGCTGCAGGTCCCCCTCTCATCCCAGCTCCCTCAGGATCCCAAGCTCCATCTGATACAGGGTCTCTGATATAGCAGGTTCGGATTCGCAGGGGTTGAGGGTCACGGGAGTCAGGCAGGGTGAGGGCGGAAGAGCGGAAGTTGGGGGCAGGTTGGGAGAGATGGGGCCGGAGAAGGGTCACAGATTTCTGGGTCTCCTCATGCAGGCATCTGCTCGTGGCAGTCCCTAGCAGGAGCAGCGGTAGTAGAAACATCCTGCAAGTGTTTCTCCCTAACCTGCCCTGGGTCTTGTCTTGGGCTCCCCTCTTTCCTGCCTCACTCACTTCTGGCTTCCCTCTCTCTACTATCTCTCTCCATACCATCTCCACCTCTCTTGCTTATTTTTCCAAGATTTGAGTGTTGTTGACTAAATCTACAGTTCCCGCCAGGAGGTTGGATGTGAACCACAAGGGCCAAAGGTGCTACTTCCTGGGGGTGCCAGAGGTGGGGAGTCATGTGTGTGTGGCATGGTGGGGGGTTGGAGGAGGCCATGTTACTACCAAGGCCTCAACTGATCTTTCCAGAGAGGAGCCTGCCTCATTCAGGAATCTCTCCTAACCCTCTTTCATCTCTCATCCCCATTCCTCTCTTTCTGAGCAGACAACCTTGGAACCTTCCCAGAACTAAAAAATTGGTGTTAACATAATGCTATGCGTGGGGACGCTCTATGCTTCACAGATGCCTACTTATCTCACTGGAGATGGGCAAACGAGGCTTCTGCATGTCCCTGAACCCGCTATCAGAACTGGGCGGACTCTAACGAAACTGCAAGGCTTTCAGGCACCTCCCCCATCTGTGTAGGGCACCTAATTAGTAGGTGCTCAGCAAATACACGTTGGCTGACTGAACACCTCCTAGGACAGGCTGTCACGTTGGCTCTGTGAGGCTTCACGGAGCCATGTATGGGCATGCTGGAAGGGAAAGTCACCTCTTAAAATGGACATTAATAGAATATGTTCAAAGATGTTCTCACCCAACTCTTGGAACTCCCTGTTTTCTCTGCTCACGCTGTGCTTTCACATCCTGTTTCCCCTGCCTGGATACCCCTCCTTCCCTGCCTGCCTGGCCAATTCCTACCTGCCCTCTAATTATGCTGGGAAGCCTTTCTTACTTAACACCTTCTGCCCAAATTCCACACTTGCCAGAGGGGAGGGAGCCCACTTCACAGGAGGGGCCTCTCCTGCAATCATCCCTGGCTTAGCGGCTCTCCCTTCCGGTCCTGCACTCTGTCAAGGTAAGCCTGCCTCCTGCCTGGCTTGGTAGCCACAGTGCTCGCGCGACAGTCCCCAGGGCCTAGTCATCATTTTGTGGATGAAGGAACGGAACCTAACCCCATTGCTTAACTTTTGAAGAAACAGGTCAGGGGTGAAATGATGCAAAGCAACACAGCTAATTAGTTACAGACAGGACAAGAGTTTCCAGAAGGGCTGCTGACTTCCCGGGGAGGCTGGATTTTATCCTTGGACATACCAGACTTGTGGCTGGAATGACCAGTTATAAGGGAGGCAGCCAAACGCTGGAGCCCAACCAACTCTGCCGCTTTCTACCCAGGTGACGTTGGCCCAATGCCTCTAGGTTCCCATTTGCAAAAGGGGGATGATTGTACTTCCCTGGCAAGGTTGCTTTGAGGAGAAAGCAAAGACTTTTTAAACGGCACCTGGGTGGTTCAGTTGGTTAGGTGTTAGGGTCGTGAGTTCAAGCCCCACATTGGGCTCCACGCTGGGCTTGGAGCCTACTTAAAAAAAAAAAAAAGATTTATGGGGCGCCTGGGTGGCTCAGTTGTTGAGCGTGTGCCTTTGGCTCGGGTCATGGTCCCAGTGTCCTGGGATCCAGCCCCGCAAGCCCCGCATCGGGCTCCCCGCTTCTCGGGGAGCCTGCTTCTCCCTCTCCCACTCCCCCTGCTTGTGTTTCCTCTCTTGCTGTGTCTCTCTCTGTCAAATAAATACAATCTTAAAAAAAAAAAAAAAAGAAGATTTGTAAGGTGCTGAGAACAGTGTCTGGCTCATGGTCAATACCAAGTCACATCAGCGGTTCATACTCTACAGACACTTTCAACTCAGTGGAGAACTGCTCCGTTCTTGACATGTGTACAGATCTTTAGGGAACTCCTGTTCTTTCTCTAAGACAAACTCTTTTATCCAGGTGTCAGACGCCCTCCTTTTCCTGGCTGGGCGGAAAACCCTCCCGGTGGCGATGGGCCCAAAGGGGGTCAAGGTCTGTGTGGCTCTCCTCAGGTTTCCCCGCCCCACTGCAGTCACTCCTAATGCTTTGCTGCCCCCTCGTGGCCGCGCCGAGGAGGGTGCGCCCCAGCCAGGGCAGGGGTTCTTCCGAGCTTCACACATGCGTGCAGAACTTTGTACCTTCCAGCAGAAACAGCTCAAGAAACACCTCGTGTTTCTTCTGCTGAAATACCACTGTCCTGCTTCTGCCTGGCAAATTCTTCCTCGTCTTTCCAGAGCCAGCTGAGAGGGTCTCCGCCTGCTGAGATTTTTTTTCTTTACTCCCCTGGGGCAGAGGTGGTTTGCGTCGCACATTCTTTCACATCTTTCAAGTAGCGCTTATTATATTCTCCTGACATTTATTTTTGTGCTTGTTGCCCTGCTAGACTGTGGGCAGGGGCTGAATCTGATTCGCCTGTGCCTCTTTGAAGAGGTGCTAAGTAGGCACAGAGGGATAATGCAGGTGGGAAGGTGGCTGGGAGAAAAGAGAGGAGGTAAGAAGAGAAGGTGAGAATAACAGTTATCTGAGCATTCCCTTTGTGCCCAGACATCTTGTGAGCGCGTTAGAATCATGTATTCTTTTTGGCAACCTTCCAGGGTAGGATAGATTATAATTAGCCCAATTTTACAACCCAGGCACAGCAAAATTAGGCAGCGTGGGTCGGTGGTGAATGTGGGGTTTAAGCCACCATGCTATCGTGTTCTCAAGTGCACAGCGAGGCGAGTAAAAGTACAATCGATGGATCAGAGGAGCAGGATGAGAAAGAGGGGGGTGGGGAGAACAGGTGGAGACAGGAGGGAAGAAGGGTAGAGAGAGCATGAGGCGGGGCCAAGGGCGGGGCAGATCGCAGAGCAGAAGGTGAAGAGGACAGGAGGGGACGAGGTGAGAGCAGGGTGCAGAGGGAGGAAATGAGGGATTGGGAGGGAGGGTGCTGAGGAGGAAGGGGAGGAGGTAGAGGCCAACTAGGACGAGGACAGGGTGTGGGAGAGGATGGGGATGAGCAGGGCATGTCTTGGTGGTGTCATCATCCGTGTGGATTCTCCATCCAGCACACTGAGCCCTCAGTTCCTTCACTCGCCCATCTCGAACATTCTCCATTCCACCTCAGCAAGCCACTCCCAGGAGCCTTATCATCACCAGAAACTGCAGCACCTATGAAATAACTGAATCGAACATCACACTCTCTGATAAGATCTCCTTTCCTTACGGTTTGTTTGCTCAAGTGGGCTCACTGGAGCTCTTCTAGGGGCTCATGGAAGAACCGCTGGCCCTTCCTGTCTTTTCATCTACCACCTGGGGTTCCAGGCTCATCACCAAATCCCTCCCTCGAAAGTACCCCCCACTCCCCTTCACTGTCTGTCCCGTGCATCCTGCCTCCCAACGTGTGTCTTCTCTACACTGGCCCCCAGCAGCTAAGGACCACCGAGGGCAATCACCCCAGAGGACAGCCTGTGGTCACTCCATTGTCATCACTGACTTCAACGGGGCTCTCTCAAGTCTGAAATCTCAGTCCTCCTCCCTCTCGGCTCCTGGGGTCTTGCACCTTCGAGCCTGCTCCTCAGAGCCTCCTGCTCAGTCGCTGCACCTTGGTCCCTGTGAAGACGGAGTCACTGGACAGACCCAGCTGCCACACCCTCCCTGTGCTTGTATCTGTGCCTGCCGCTGTCCCTTCTCTCCTTAGAGGACAGGAAAAGTCCTCTTCCTCTGGGAAGTGGTTCCTCCCTCTCATGCTCTGGATTCCATCAGAGGGAGATGTGGCCTCAGCCCCTCTCTGACTTGGCCCCTCCCCCAGCCTGTCAGTGACCAGGAAGGGCCTGCCTGGGGCCTTAGCATATATTTCTCGGTCTGCTGGGAACCCCTGCTCTTTGCCAGTCTGACTCCTCACCTTTCAGATGTCTGCATGTTACTTCCTCAAAGAAGCCTTGCCTGACCTTCACCTTTAAGTCAGGTGCCCTTGTTAACATCCGCTCCGGTCACCCTTTACTTTAGCCACATAGCACTGCCCATTTGGAATGATCAATTTATTTGTGGTATTATGTGTGTCTGTCCCCCTCATGAATCTGTGAGTCCCACGAGGGCAGGGACTGCTCTCCTCGTTTATCCTGTAGCTTCTATAACAAGCAAAGTGTCCAGCCTGGAGTAGGTGTTATGAGAATTTTTTGAGCAAATGAATACATGAATGGGCGTGGTGAGGAGACAGGACGGATGTGAGTGGGGAGGGAGGGTGGGGATGGAAGGTAGACGGTGAGGAGAGCAGATGGTCAGTGTGGGGAGAGGGTGGTAATGAGGATGGGTGCGCAGAGGTGAGGTTAGGGGTGGAGGGGAAAAGCGGGGAGGGGAGGACAGGTGGAGGCATCTCTGTGCTGGGCCTGAGTGAGGCTTCCAGACCCTGAGTGGCTTCCCAGGAGCTCTGTCTCTTGGCCATGCTGCTTGAGAGGTTTGGAGGCCCAGCCCGTGGGCGGGGCTAGACTTTATCTTGGGGCGCAGCCCTAACCTCAGATGGTGACAGAGCTGGAGCGAGCAGGGGTTTTGCAAACCGTCCCGATTGCAGCAGGCCCGCCGGCTCACTCTGGATGGCGGGTGGGGCCTGGGCTTATCTCCTGAGCGCAGCCCTAACCTCAGATGGTGACAAAGCGGGAGCCGGCAGGCGTTTTGCAAACCGTCCCGATTGCAGCAGGGTGGGATGGCCTGGCCAGGGGCAGCGGTGCTAGGTGTGGGGGGCAACAGAGGTTTGGGCAGTTTGGGGCCTCGCAGCGAAGTCCGGCTTGGGGGGCTTGGGGGATCCATTCTGTAGGTGGCTTGCCTCTACCTACCTCAGATCTCTGTTTCTAAAACCAGAGGGGAGGCCACAGCTCTGTAGGTGGGGCTCTCCCGGTTAGGAAGCCTGCCTTTTCCCAAGTCCTAGGACCCTTCCGCTATCCCGGAAGTCAGAATTGACGGCCAGTGGCAACCATTTTCCTCGAGAATAACCACCACAGTCTCTAGCAGGGTAGCCCGAGGGAACTTCTCCTGTTCCACTGAAGATTTTCTGGGGCCAGGCCTGCTTGTAGTTGCACTGACGGAGGCCAGCCAGGAGTCCTGTCCAAGCTGGAACATTCCCATTTAGGAGCAGCACAGGCTGAAAGGAGAGGTGTGCTTGTTGGGGGCCAGCGAGGGTGACAGGAAGTGGCTGGCCTGTCAGAGGGGAGGCACCCAGGCCCTCAGCCAGCCCTGGCTATCACCGCCTCAGCATCTCCCATCCAGCCCCCTGCATCCCATAGCCCCCTCCCTGGCTGGCCAGGGTAGGGGTGGAGGTGAAGAGGCCCCTTTCCACCCCCACAACCCCAACCGGGATCTTGCAACACTGGGATGGGGGCCCTGGGGGCCCAGGCATGTGGCAATCCGAGGGGGGTGGGGTGGGGAGGTGTGCACCGAGCAGGGGAGCGGCTTTCACAAGCAGCCACTGCAGGACTGACCTTGGCAGGCTCACCTTGGGCAGCTTCCTCTCTCTTCCCGGTATCACCAAACAGCCTTCCTTCTCCTTGGCCGCTTCCCCCAGGCCTGAGATCCTGACTTTCAGCTCAGCACTCCCATTCCGGTCCCCCGCTCAGCTCCTGAAGGAAAAGTGGGCCTGAGCCCACTGTGGAGTCTAAAGCAATGGAAATGCATGTATGTGCCGTTTGGACCCTGATTTGCTTGTTTCTTAAAGTCACCGTGTCCTGAGGACTCGCGCCTTGGGGCTCCTTCTTTCTGCCTCTTCTTTCCCTGCAGCAACTCTGCTGTGGGGGTGGGGGTGAGCAGGAGAAGGGGCTTGGGTGCTGGAAGCTTGCTCTCTTTCCCACATCAGTTTCTTAGGGACTGAGCTCTCCCGGAGAGGGAATGGAAAGTTCTTGGCAATTCCGTTCTAGATAGAGGAAGACATTTTCTTGCTTATCCCTTTCTTCCTCCTTTCCATTCAGCCAGCCTCACTTGGCTTCCTTTCTTTTTCTTGATCATTGGATGTCTTAGGTCTTCCCCCCAATTTGGCACATCTGTCTCCTCCTTGACATTTTTTAGGTTTCAACTTCAATGTCACCTCCTCAGAGAAGCCTTCCTTGACCACCCTAGCGAAAATAACCTCCCTTCCTGCTTGTTTATTTGGTTTCCCTGAATGGAGTAATTTATGAATTTACTGCAGGTGCTTTGCAGAGGCGTGAAGGAACGGGGCTGAGGAAAAGCTGCAAGGAATGATGCAGGAACTGGCTAGCTAGCAGGCTCCATTACTGCTCCCAAGACCATAAGGGCGGCATCGTGTGGGAGGGGGCAGTGGAGGGTGCCCGTCCTGGACAGGAGAGGGTTGGAGGATAAGCACTGGACTTTACCCTGTGCCTGGAGCACAGTCGGATGACCAGGGGTCGAGGGGACCTAGAACAGCAAAGGGAGACACCCAGTGCACCTGTTTGTTGCCTTTTTCTTCCCATCCATTCAGCTAAGAGCTGGGTCTGTCTTGGTCACCACGGTGTTCTCGACACCTGGCAAGGGCCCGGCACGGGAAAGATGCTCAACAAATACTTGTTGAATAAGTTACTTTGGCCCACGCCAGTTGAGGGCAGGCTAAGAGCTTCATTCAGAAAGTGCCACCTCTGGCTACCTGTCACCTCCCTGGGACGTGATCTGCCAGAGATTTGGGGGCATGCTCGCCACTTGTGCTCAAGAAGGGACCAGGTGTGCTCTTTTCTCGCAGTGGGGTTGTGACTCTTCTCCAGCTCTGGTGCCAGGCCCCCGCCCCGAGCAGCCGCAGGGTGGTGCGGGGCTGGGAGAAGACCCAGTTCCGAGCGGTGGGAAAGCAGCTCGGGGTTGATGCTGAAGCAACCAAAGGTCGCATCACCCAGAACCTTGAAAATAAGTCAAGGGGCAGTGGTCTTGAGCTGAGAGGAGGAAATCCGGAGGTTGAGTCACTTACCCTGTTCTGTACAAACCCCCCTTATGCAACCCCATCCCCCTGGGCTAGGAGGGAGCTGCGGGATTCTCCCGGGCATCCACGGAGACTGGCGCCTCCCCCTTGCGAACTCAGGAGGGCCCTCGGTTGAGGGAATAAACCATCTAGCAACATTCAAATCTATCTGCCTGGACCAGATCTGGGGCAGAAGCTTCCAGGGCCAGGGGTCAGAGAGGGTGCCTGAGGGACACAGAGGCAAAGGCAGGAGAGGGACCAAGTTCTGGGTGAGGAAGGCATGGTGCACACGGATGCCCAAGATGTAGGAAGTCTCTGCTGCTGGGGATGTGGAAATGGGGGGAAGGGTGGGAGAGAGAGAGGAGACTGGGAGGATCCTGTCTTCCCCCTCTCAGAAAGTTATTCCTTGATATCTAACTCGGGCTTTCTCAGCAGTGGCCTACAAATCACTGGTGGTCTAGGAGAGACTCCGGTCCCCACTGCGTCTCACGTCTCTGGTTACTTACTGAATGGGACTGGCAGGCCTGCCCTACGCTGTGTGCCTCCGTGGGGAGGGTGTGAGCATGGCCTAGAGACAGGTGCAATGTGCTGACACAGCAAAGGGACGGCGAGAGCTTCAGGAGAATGTCTCTTATCCCCTCTGGCCCTCAGCCGCTTTATCTGTAAGATGTGGCTCACACTATCTTGCTCGTCTGAGGCCAAAGCCCACCAGACGATCTCTTGAGGTCTCCTCCAGCACCTCTTGAGATTCGTGATTTTTTTTGGAGCTATTTTTGGGTCTGCCTCTAAGCAATTGTGTGACTCTGGCTAAGCACTACCCCCCCCACCCCCTAGGCCTCAGTTTCCTCACCTGCAAAGTGAGAAGTTTAGATGAGATCCTAAGGTCCTTTCAGTTCTAGCAAAATGGAATAATAATGATTATTCATCTTACCATGTGCCAGGCCATGTTTGTCTATGAACAGAACAACACCGTCAGGTGGGTCTAATGCTACCCCCATGGTGCAGACGGGGAAACTGAGGCACACAGAGAGGTAACTGGTTTGGGTCACACAGCTAGTAAAAAAACTGGAGGGAAATTCAGATGGAGGCTCTTGGGCTAGAGTTCTATGAAAGGGAAAATGATTCACCCGAGGAGTTTCACTGGCAGAGGTGGGTTGTTTTCCTCATTATCAACTTTCTCTGGTTCACACAGGTCTTGAGGCCTTTCCCATCGGCGTCCTCCCCCAAGCACTCAGATTCTAGTGCTATGCGGAACCTGAGTCCCAGGGAGTGAGGGACAATGAGGGAGTGGGTGGGAGCCACGGGGGGATGTCAGCCTGGTGGGCTCAAGTTGTGGAGCTGGAAAGAAGGGGTCGAGTCCCGGATTCAGAGCTAGGGGACTCTGAATATGGCAGAGCCGTCTGGAAGCTGACAGGAGCTCCCAGACCTATATTTCCAGGTGCTGGGGTCAGCAGGCTTAGGCATAAGGGACTGGGTGGCACTGGGATCTCCCCACAAGCCACAGAACTCTGTTAGGGAAGTATCCAGAGGCTGCTCCAGGTCCAGTGGGGTTGCGGGGGTGGGGTGCCTTCATCATCCAGAAGGATAGAGCGGGCTGGGGTGGGGGCAGGGGGAGAGAAGAGTAGAGTGACAGCCACCCAGCCTGGCGTGTGGTGTGTTGGGGGAGAGCTGTGGGCAGTGTGTCTGTATTCTTGGATATTCATTTGGGCATGGAGCCAAGAGGTATGCAGACCCAGCAACATGCATTCCCTGCCCTTGAAGTCCCCATGTCACACATGCACCCCCCCCCACGCCCAGGCCCAGTGTGCAGGCCCATTACCGAGTCATAGTGCAATTTTATTCAGCCACAGATTCATTATGCTGGGGTCCGCCCTCTTCCCTTGCCGCCCGCTGCCGTTTGTCCGTGGTCTCTGTCTCAGGCTTGGCCTGTGAGCGGCTCTAGGGCCCCAGTAGGGTAGGGATCCCCAGAGTCAGGCTGGGCCGGGGTGGGGGCGTGGGGGAGGCTGGTGCCACAGTCTGCCAGCAGGGCTCAGCTGCAGGCCCCCACGCCCTTGATGAGGTTGGCGGCCTCGGGGATCTGGCGGAAGAGGTTTCGAAGGGTGTCCAGCTCCTGGGTCAGCTGCTCCACACGACTGCGGAGGCGCTCGTTCTCTGCCATGTACTCGAGCACCTTCTGCTGAGTCTCCAGGATGCGCCTCTTGGCCTTGTCTCGGCTCTTGCGCACGGCGATGTTGTTCCGCTCCCGCCGCAGCCGGTACTCCAGGCTGTCCTTGTTCACCGCCTTCTTGCCTTTGTGCGAGGGGCCAGCTGGGGATGGCGCCTTGAGGAGGGGGCTGCAGGGGGGTGCGGCGGCGGCCACAGGGGCCTGGAGGGGGAGGCACAGAGGGACGAGAGGTGAGGGCCGGCCAGGAAGCGGGGTGCAGGCCGGGCCGGAGCGCGCTCGGGCAGCAAAGAGATCGGGGATCCGGAGCCGCGTGCCAAGGGTGCCCTGCTCTGACCCGAAGTCCCTTTCACGTTCCCACACCGTCTGAGGACACTTTCCCTCAGTCTCCCTCGAGTCTCCAGCCCTACGACCTGCGGGCGTTTCCTCTTCTAGAAGCGGGCGGCAGAGAAACAAGAGGAAGGGGCTGATGGGCCGCAGAGAAGCCGCTGGGACCCGAGGTCTGGGCAGGTGAGCTGGTCACAGGGGCTGTGGGACACCATGGATCCCCGCCGCATGGTGGGGTTCAGGATGAGAGGGGGTTGACAGAGAAGCAAGGAGGGGTCGTGGGGGTGGTGAGCACAGAGGATCTGGGGGTGGGTCGGTCTCGCAGAGCAACACCAAACACGGACTCGTTAGCGCAAGCGGGAGCGCAGGGCACCGGCGCGGGGGCCCCCCTCCAGCGCCGGCGCGGCAGGGACGAGATGGGACCTGCTCTTACCTTGAGGACGCGCAGGGGCTGGCTGGGTGCCGCCAGGGCCGGGGGCAGGTGCATGGCCGTCTGCCCGCAGTGTGCTACTTGGTACTGCAGAGGATTGTAGGCGCCGCGGCTGGCCCCTCGGCCGCCCTCCGGCCCCCGGGGCTCCTCCTTCACGGCCACAGCCCTGGGGTCGTAGCTCCCTGGGCTGCTGTAGATGCCAGGCCCCAAGGCCTTCCTGTCAGGGCCGAAGGTGTGTGGGGGGTAGGCGAAGGGCCGCGGGTCAGGCGGCAGGTAGTGGGGGAAGGCGGGGGTCCCGGGTCCCTTAAGGCCTCGGGCCTCAGGTGCCGGCTTCACAGCGAAGAGGTCAGAGAGGAGCTGCTCCTCCCCAGACTCTATGTAGGCGGAGAGGTCTATGGAGGCCTCATGCTCACACATGTCCCCCAGCTCCCCGGGCCCCGCTCGGCCCCCTGAGAACTCGAGTGGCTGCTGGCCAGCCCGGGGCTCACACTCGTAGTAGGTCCCGTGGGACATGGCCGGCCCGCCCCCTCGGCTCCCCGCCCCTGCCGCCCTGCTCTTGGGGCACCCTCTGGGATGCTCTGCCTGCCCTCTCCCTATCTCCCCCTGCCCTAGATCTGCCCTAGATCTGCCCTCTCCGCTCTCCTCTGTCACCCACTCCTGCGTGGCCTCTCTCCTCCCTCCTCTGCTGTTTCCTTTTCCTTCCTCTGTAGTCAATGCCTCTTTTCTCTTCCCTTTTTTCCCCCTCTCTCCCTGGGGTGACTCAGGGAGGGGCAGGGCTCACCCCTGAGGGAGCGATGCAGGGCTTAGAGAAACGGGGCCCCTGGCCTATTTAGCAGTTGGGAGCACTCTTTGGTCAGGGTCCAAGCCAGGGTTCTGAGGTGCCTGGCAGCTGATGCTTCTGGGAATGCCCCCCTCCCTCTTGAGTCCAGGGGATTCCAGAGTCCTCGCTGAGGGAAACACCTCACTCTGAGTGTCCTCCTCCCTCCGACTTCCAAAAAGTTCTGTGCAGAATGAGGTGCCAAGTCGGAATGAACAGAGAAAACCCTCTTCTAGTGCCGACCCCCAGCCTGATCTGAGCTCCTCCCTTGACACGCCTCCCTCTCTGTCCCCCGCAAGGCTGGGCTCCACCTACCCCCAGGGGCAGTCGGTTCCTTCTGTAGCCCCACCCCCAGGGCATTCTTTTGGGTGCAGGCCAGGGGGCGTTGTTTGAGGGGGTTATAGTGATAGGTTCTGGGACCAAGCCCTACACGGGGTCCTGTGGTGCAGAGCATGCTCATTTGCTAGGTTTTTGGGCAATAGCCCGAACATTCTTGTGGGGGCTTCTAGCCCGGGGTGGCCCTAGCAGCCTGGCACTGTCGCTGACTGCCCAGGCTCGGCTGAGGCACCTGCTCAGGACTTGGGCCCCGGTGCCCCAGGCCCAGGCAGGCCGCCGCCCCAGGGGCCGACAGCCGCACTCCCCTGGTGGCTCCAGGGCTCTCTCTTCCAGCTGCTCTGCACTGCCAGAACCTCAGGTTGGCACTCTGCCCCCCTGCTCTGGTCCTGGGGCTCTGCTCTGTTTCCTGTGCCTTGGGGCCGCAGGGCTCAGGCACTCCCTGCAGCTCGGTTTGCTGTCTTTCCTTCTGCATGGCCGTTCTCTGACCTCGATGCGTGTCTCTTGGGTCCACTTCCTCTTGTGAGGCTTGAGAAGCCTTCTCTTTTGTCATCACCTCTTCCTGGGACTGTTTCAGGGTCTCCAGGAGAAGCCGGTGCTCGGCACTTCAGGTCTCATGCTGGGCCCCCTCTCCCTTCCCTTTTCTTTTTCCTCTGGGAACTCCCCACTCTCTCCTGTTAGAGGCAGGGCTGTGGCTCTGTTTTACCTTGAATTTCACCTATAAAAGGGACTATAGGTCCAGAAAAGGAGAGGACACAGAAATGTGTCACCGGCTCTTTGATCACCGGTCAATGCTGTGAACGCCCCATGGAGGCCAGAAGGTTTAATAAGTAGGGTACACCAAGGACCGGGCCATAGTGGGAACAGATGCGGAGGGGTTATAGGTGGCATTGAACGCTAAAATGAAGTATGCAGGTGCAGACAGGGCTGCCTCCACGTCAGGCTAGTTACCCGTCCAGTTAGCATCTTCCTCCCTCCCTCGCTCCCCACCACCCCACCAACCCCAGGAGCTTTCTGGGCACAGTTTGAGGTACTTCCTCTGAGAGCCCTGACCTGGCATGGGGAGATCTGTGTGCATCCTGGAGACAGATCTCAGGGACCAGACGGGGAGGTTTCCATCTCCTCTCCCTTTCAAAGGACCTTGTGTTGAACAGGTACCAGAGCTGAATTACTTCAGTTTGGTAGGAGTGCCTCTGCTGACCACCAGGCGGCAATATTGGTCCAGAATTCGGGAGTAGAGGGGCCGCCGTGGTCAGGCATCCGGTGGTCGGCAGGGGGCAGCCTGCCACAGCCCTGGCAAGGGCAGGACCCTGCTGGGCCTCCCAAAGGAGGAAGGGGAATCATGGTGGGGTGGGGGCTTGCAGTGCGGTTATTGGGAGAGTGGGCAGGCCGAGAGGACTGGGGCCAGGGCCCTGTCTCAATGAGGAGAAATTCTAGCCCTCTCCGACTTTGAAGTAGTGATGATGGCTAAGGCCTGGCATTTTCTGGGGTTGTGCTTTTTTTGCTCATTGAAACATTCACATTGCCATGTTGACCATCTCCCTGTGAGTTAAGTAGGAAGGGAAGCACGACCAAGGGCATTTTATCTCCGCCTTATAAAGGAGGGGAACAAGGCTGAAAGGCTGAATCGCCCAAGGTCAGACAAGGATGCAGCATTGATCTCGAGAGGAAGGGCAGCGGGCTAGTTCTTGAAACCCCCAGGCAAGAAGGGATAGAGAAAGGGGGAGCTGTGTGACTCAGAGAGCCCTGTTTGCCCTCAGTCCACCGCCGGGGGGAGGGGAAGACAGCGTCAGTAGCGAGTGAACGGGGTGCCGGAGGAAGCCGGGAAGTGTGCAAATAGAGCCGGCAGGAAATGAGAAAGGCTGGGGCCACGGGGAGATAAGTAATCTCCGTCGGATCCCTCACCTCCCAAGCTGGTGGCTGACGTTGCTGGAGTACTGACATCACGTTTCCCAGTAACCGAGGGGTTTGGTGGGGGCAGGCGGCATTCTGGATGTCTGGGCAGGGGAGGAGGGGGGACTGGACAGGAGCAGGGGTGGGGAGGGCAGTGCCAGACAAGAGCTGGGGAATTCTTGGGTTCTGTGGAGTTGCTCAGGAGTGGAAAGAAGCCCTCCCCACCGTCAGCAGGCTCTTTTTTCCTCCTTGCTGCTTCAGCTGCTACCTGTTTGCATTAACCGAAACAATGCGGGTATATTATCTTAAGTGACTTTGTAACAGGCCTCAGTTCAAAGGTCACCTCCGTCACCAAGTCCTTCCAACAGGGAGTCAGCCAAGCATGGCTGCGGTGAAGTGTCCGAGAGACCTGGGCTTGAAGCCTGCCCCTGTCACGTCCCAGTTTGGTGCCCTCGGGCAAGTTATTTAACCTTACTTGTAAAATGGCAGTAGTAACATCTACTTTGTCGGATTGTTTAATGAAACGCTGAATAAGAGAATGTATAGAGAGCAACTGGTCTCAGTCAATGTTCAGTCTTCTGCCCTTCCTCCGAACACCTCCTGTGGTTTATCTGGGTGTCCTAAGCAGACAGGCTGTCTGCAGCCTCCTCTGATGCCTCAGTTTGACAGGCATTTTGGGGCACAGAAGTAGCAGGCACTGCTCAGGCTCTGGGGTTCTGGCACATTCAGCTCCGGCCTGCCACGGCTCCAGGCTGTGGGCAGTCAGCAGCACGTAGGTGCCAGGAGCATTCTTGCCTTCTTTCCCTGTAGACTATTTCCTTCTTGAGGGTAGGGTCAGATCCATTTTTTGGACCTCTTCCGCTGTGGTGACCATATTGCCTGAATTAAAATTAAGGAAAGGTGGATTGTCGAGTACGAATATTTTTGTGGAAACAATGGAACAAAGTATTTGAAATCTGTGCTGACTCGTAAAATTCAGGAATAAGTTTGCTATTCTCACAGCACATAGCAAACTCCTTGGACACAGTGGTTGTAAGGTGTGTTGTGTGACTAACAAATGAATGCTTACGCAGCTATGATTCCGGTGACCCCCCCAAATTCCCTAAGGTCAGAGCATATGAATTCTTACCATTAAAGTGACTGACAGGGTTAAGAGAGGGTAAAGGCCCAGGTTAAACATAAATGCTTGTTGCTCTGGAGGAGACCCACATTTGCCCATTGACCAGGTTAAAAAGATCCGCACGTGTCACTTATGGGAGGAGGGGGACTGCTGGTGACGGATGGGAATGAGTGTCTCCGTAGAGCGAGAGGGGTTTTGGGAGGGCTGGACTTGCTGGAATGGGGCAACATGGAGAATATGCTGGCAGCCCATGGAAAGGAAAAGTGTGTATGTTGGGGAAGAAGGGGTGCAAAAGGGTGGATTTGAGACCTGGAGAACAGCCTCTTTTTTTTTTTTTAAGATTTTATTTATTTATTTGTCAGAGAGAGAGACAGAACACAAGCAGGGGGAGAGGCAGGCAGAGGGAGAAGCTCCCCGCTGAGCAAGGAGCCCGACGTGGGACTCAATCCCAGGACCCTGGGATCATGACCTGAGCCGAAGGCAGCCGCTTAACCAACTGAGCCACCCAGGCGTCCCGGAGAACAGCCTCTTGCATAAGACTGGCCTCTGCCCAGTTTTGCCTTCACTCTCTGGGGACAATCTTGGGCTGAGAGATTGAGGAACCCTTTGAGATTAGGTTCAACCCTCTTTTTTTTTTTCTTTTCTCAAAAAGTGCTAAATAGGTTAAGTGACTTGCCCAAGGACACACAGCTCTTTAGTGGCTGCCGACCTAGAACTTAGAGCCAAGTATCTGTGCCCCCATGACTGGTGCGCCTCCAGCCTCAGTCTAGAAAAATGCCAGCCACAGATGAGGAGAGTTGGGGCCAGGCCGGGACTGGGAGTGGAGGCATCTTGCCCGCCTGTGTCCTCACGTGTCCCAGATGGTGGAGGATGATGTCTCAACGCCCCCACCCTGGCCGCTCCCCGCCCATGTCTGTCAGAAGTGCTGGCTCTGGAGTAATGCCGCCCCAGGACAGGCAGCTGGGAGGGCTGCCCACAGAGGAGGCACTCCAAGCAAGGACTGGGTCTAATCCCATCAACTTCCTCCCGCAATTAACCCAAATCACCAGCGGACGTGTCCCTACCGTACCTGCTTCCTCCTTTGTCCTCACTCAACAGCCTTCCTAGTCCTCCGACTAGACAAGGTCCTCTCATTCAGCTCCGTGCAGCTGAGGGGACCCTGCCTCATGTCCTAGTCCCTCCTGTCAAACCCCTTGGATCTGGCTGGCTGCTTTCCTAAGTCCCCCTGGCATCTCTCCACAGGCTCAGCCAATCGCTTCCTTTCCCATTTGGTACCAGCTGTCCCAGTGCCAGAAGCCTTGGCTGACCAGACCTTGGAGAACCACTCTGCCTTTGCCTCCCTCCTCTCAG